TAGCATTGCTCATTTGAATGCAACAATATGAAGCTAAAATGACTACATCATCGTATAACAAAACTAGTTCATAAGAAAGTACAAGCATAACCCAATAAATCAACACAAATATGCCACAAAGAAAAGGCATATGTTGTGCCTTTACTCATCCTTGTCCTTCTTCCTCCATCTCCTGGTCATCTATAATGTAGAGCTTGAACGATAGTGACGCTAGTGGTCTCTCCCCTCTATGTATCACCTTAAAGCTTTGGTTTATATATCCATACTGGCGTTGGTGATAGATGACATATAATTGGGTCTGCTTATGGATCTCATGCAGCTCCCACTTTATAGCTCCCTGGGTGAGTATACTTGATCCAACCATCTAGTGATATCATCAACTAATGGCTCATGACATTGTATAAGGTGGTGCTAAGATGAGCTCTCACCTAGTTCATAGGTTGAAACTTGACGTAGTCCATAAAACGACGTAGTCCATAAAACTTGATAGTGGCTCGATTGATGTTCATAGGTAGAAACTTGACGTAGTCCATAAAACTTGATAGTGGCTCGATTGAATGGGCTTCTGATGAAGGAGCCTCTCTTCATCATCCTCCTCATGAACACTGGCAAAGACACATAGGGTTGTAATCAGACTCGGGTGGCCCAACCCAACTATTGTCTGACTGCTAGAGATGTAAAGTATGGATTGATGGATCACTGCCCCAATATCTATAGACTTCTCCTATTGAATACAAAAGTTTAGGACAGTCCTATCTTTAGTGACATATGTGAGGCCGGTGGTGAGTAGGATTCGGATCACAATAAAATAGTGTAAGGCTTTAGAAATTCTATTTGAGTTAGTTAAAGGAAAAATGATTCTTCTCCCTTCCTCCCTTGCCCTTGTCTTCCAATGGCCCTCAAAATAGGTAAGAAAGTCAATAATATACTAGTAATTAGGGTGAGGAATTATTGGTAATTGATAAGGGGGATATCAAAAAGGCAAAATAATGGATTAATAGTGGTAGGGTCAAAATTAACCTATTTTTCTCATATGAAGGCTTGTCTGTGCATGGATTCTTTCACCTTAGAAAAAAATTTTCAGACAAGTAGGATGATGGTGAGGTCAACAATGTAACAAAACATTCCTTAATACCATTTCTTTATCATACTCAGAATCTCACCCCTTGGTGCTTGAAAATACCTCTCAAGGATCAATTTCTTCTTCAACATAAGGCAAGAGAAATTTTGGGGGGCTGTTAGGCTGACAAATCTCCTCTCATAATGTGTAATCCCTCTACCTCTCATCTTAGGAGGCATTTTGAGTGAAAGAAGAAGTGCATGCATTAGAGAAGGATTCAGCAAAGATCCACAAAACCCATGGTAAATATAGCAAGATGAGTTGAAGATCTCACCTAGGATCGCAATAGACTTCAAATCCGAGCTTTTCTGGCCAGTTTCCACCTCCCATAAAGTTTTCCAAGTGAGCTAGGGTGTTGCATAAGTACTTGGGGGTGTCAGAAAAAGAATGAAACAAAGAAGATGGGGTTTATCAGGTTTAAAA